TGAAATCTCACTGAAGCTGCTGGACAAAATCATCACCTTTCATTCAAGATAAATGTAAGAAACAAGCAAACTCTTTTATGCAGCCTGCTAACTGAAATTACAGAAGTTATCATCAAAACCAAGAGAAATGCGAAGCATATGGACCCATGAGTTTCTCTAGAAACTGATATGCTTAATGCAGAGAGAGAGGTATTAATCAAGGCAAGATGATTAATCCAGATAAGCAGCAAAAATGTGTAAAAGGAATAAAGAAACCACCAGCACAGCTCAACAAACTGGCATTGTGATCCTGGTAGAAGAAAAGCTGAAAGAGAGGTTGGGGGTAAAACACTGGGTGAATGAGGCTTGGAAAAAAGAAGTTATTGCCTGTTATTTGATTCTGTCTTTGTTCAAGGAAATAAAACTCTGTATTTTCTTTGTAAATAAAATGGAACTATATCAAAGCAAAACCCTATCCTGAGGATGAATTCTCTTTCCAGCTGAGAAGAAAACAACCCACAGACCTGGCAAATTGTTTAACCACTCAGGTAAAAATGGATTAATACCATGTGAGGAGAGGCATCCAGTTTTCAAGAAAGGGAATCATGAGGTGGAATTCCCACTGAACCAAAATAGAATCAATGAAGGAGGTATCTCTCAGAAATAGTAATTGGTAAAAAGAGATGAAAACAAGACCAGATGAAATTAAAAGAAGACTTAAATCAGCTGGAGGCTTTTCAAAATTAATTAAAGTAGTAGCTGGAAAATTTCCAGAGTGGTCTAAGAGATGACATGCAGGCAGAGATGAAATCTCTGCTTGAACCGAAAACACAGAGTACCCAGACAGATTAGGAAGCCCTGTGGCAAAACAGATCAATGAGAAGAATGACAACACAACTCCTGCAGGCTAGAAAGTTTTCAAAGAAATAGGTAAGCCAGGAAAGTTGGAACTAACTTGGCACTTGCTGGCTTAAAGGAGCTATGCCAGGAATATAAGGAGCTGGAGAAGGAAACTGGAGGGACAGAGACAGCTGTGAAAGGCTGATGCTTGGAAGTGGCCTTACACCTTTAGAAAAGCTGGAGTAAGACTCTTGCCTTTTTTATCATTTTATTTTTATAACATATACAAAATTTGTTTGAACACCATCTGAAGATGACCGATATACAGGAGTTTGGACTATCTCCAGCTCAAAAACTGCATCTTTGAAAGAAAAACTTCCATCAAGCTAATCTCTCTCAGGTCAACAGGAAAACCCAAATGACTAGGAAGGTGTACTAAAAATACTGAGTCTGATGGCCAGCTCCAGGGGCCCAAGTTAGATGGTACTGAAGAGCAATACCTGCCCTTCTTCCTCACCTTACTAAAAAGGACAAAATCTTCCAAAAATCGGCCACTAGTGAGGTGATTGAAACTGCTCCCCCTCCAGTCCCATAGTGGTCCTAGGCATAGATCTGCTCACCAGTAGTAAGAATGCTAAACAAAATGGGCTTGGATAAAGCATCATCAACGTTTTATGAAAAAGCTTTGCCCAGTTTGGGAAAGAGAAGACACTGAGCTGACCATAATCTTTGTTCAGATCTGGGCAACTTGAAAATAGTAAATGGGAATTCGATTGCTGAGTGTCTAATAGCACTTGAACAAAAATACTGGGCACTGGATCAACACAACAGGTTTTAGAGGGGCCTGCCAATGGAACTAGGAAAAAAGATTATCCCAAACTAAATCATCTATTTGGTCTTAAATAGAGATAATGGATGCGAGCACATGATCATGTAGATGACAGACATGAAGAGGAGCAGACACTGGAGAGCAGTGTTAAAGCTCAGGAACTGGGTTCGTTTTGGAAGAAGCTTCTTCCAGGTGCATCTGTAGCCTTCTCCACCGCCAGCAGGCATTTGGTCCATTGGATCACTGAATAGTAGTTGGTCTAAAGTAAAACCTACAAAGTAAGTACTGTGACACTCTACAAATCCGTTCCTAGTGGGCCACACTGCTTGCTAATGTAGACATAGTCACTGATGGGCGGAAGAATCTAATGCAAGTTTAAGGGAAACTAGGTTTAGAAACTGTGTCTCCGGAGTTTGAGCATGAGATCTAGACAGTCAGGACAAATCTGGAGCAGTTTCGATTTCATTATGGATATCAGCTGTGTTGTAAATGCCATGAAAGCTGTCTTACACTTTCAAGTAAAACAAATGCTTTGTAGACAAGTGTTTTCTAGAAATCAGCTTGAAATGTCTATAGGAGTGGAAACATTGATAAGAGTTTCTTCCTGGGGTAGTCTTTCATCCAAGATAAGATGGAGTGGCTGATGCCCGCCATGCAACTAGGCTCCTGGGAATCTTAGCAGCTAAGTCTCTGAAAAAAACAGGAAGCAATATATCTAGTAAATATTGCCATAGAAGGTGATGCCAAGCTTCAAGAGTTTCCGTTGGACTTGCTAAAGCATGACATTGTGCATTTAGACAAGGAACAGCAGAATAGTCCCAGGTCTCTCTGGAGTCAGTCACTCTTCTCACTATCAGTCAGAAAACTGCTTCACTGAGCACATAAAAGGGAAAAAATGCAACACAGCTCAGCAACAGCTGGTATTAAGTGGAGGAGGGAGAGGGAGGAGAACCACTGAGAAGATGTTTCAGGAATGAATAATTGAATCTTTAAACAATCCCTGGTGGCAACACCATGGTCTGCATAAACTACAGAAAACCGTATTCAAGTAAACATCAAAGGATGCTGCCTTGACAGGAGTTAATACTCTATTTTCCGTAGCAAGTTCAGGTTTCCCATGCTTTACCTTAAAATAGGTGCTATTAGGTGAAAAATGGATACAAACTTTGGTCCTGCATCTGGGCATAAACCACAACAACTTCAACCCGTGGCTTTTGACTTGTACAATGGACCTACTACATTTCAGCAGTTATGGACTCAGTGTTCTCTACGGAGTTAATCTCTCTTGGCTTGTTTATTACACCTGGTTGATACCCATGGCCGTATAAAAAGCTTGGGAAAGGAATGAGCACATTGACATGTGATCTGTAGGAAGTTTAAGTTTAAGAACAGTGGGTGATGGACCAGTCTGACACAGGTAGATTGTTACGTCGAAGTAACAGACATCATCAAAATAAATGTAAGAAACAAACTTTTCTATGGAACCTAATAGAAGGAATAATAAAAGAATATCACATAAAAAATAGACACGTAACTACACCTGAGCAGAAGCTGAACCACAGTTGCCAAATGGTTTCTGTGGAGGTGTATATAGCAAATCTGGTGGCAGGAAGGAGTGGACTTTCACTGATGGATAACTGGGAGGAGAAATAGCTAAAAAGAGCAGAAGAAAAGTGAAGGAAAGTGAAGACTCTCCACTCACAAAAAGCATGAAGAGAGTCAAGAAAGAGACCTTTTGAGTATAAAGTTGGAATGAAGACAATTGGATCACAGAACAAAGAAATAACGTTTCAGTTCTAGTCACTCTGTGTCTGTGCAAAAAGTTTGCCTAACTGTTCAAATTAAAAAGGGAGAAGAACAAAATCTATTGTTCATACTATGCTGGTATGATTAATTCTGATTTTCGTGTGAGCATCATTGTTTATAAAAAGTTTGTTCTTTCAAGGCCTCCTTTAAAAATGAAAACGTACACTTTTTCCACATGTAAAGGTGCAGTTACACATAAAAAAATACAAAATATAAATATACAAATATGAAAAAATATACAATAAAAAACCTGAGCCTTAAGAATCATAAAATATCATTACAGAATAGCTAACATGGTATTTGATTTTGCATGTTTAACCTAAGAAACACATTTTCAACTATCATTCCTGATATAAGGAATCCACTCACCAAAGGAAAAAAAGATACTGAAGACAAAAATCCCAGGTTACTTGAAAATTTAAGCTGGAACAACAACTCAACTCATGTCAAACAGAAAGGATTTGCTCTGGACTTCTAAAAAACAGGCCCAAAATATCTCAGACTGAGCATTTAAATATCCAGGAACCTAAAATCAAACATTTGAAAATGTCTCGGTTCCCCATCAGAGAGAGTAGGAAACTGTGACATGAAAAGTGTCTTTAGTAGGGATCAGTTAATACTTTCTAATCATAGACCAAGTGATGCAGATGGAGAAGATGATTTCAACTGATGCAAGCTCCTAAAATACAATGGCACTTCTGAAATTTTTACGTAGATATTCTTTATCTTCAGAACAAAAGTTTCTAAATTCATAATGCAAAACAAAAAATAAAAACATATGTTCATGTTGATAGTAAGCCCCAGTTGACCTCCTCCCCAGACAGCTTCAGTAAGCTTTCAGGCACACTTTTACACTTACAAAGGAATATCTAATGCAGCATATCCGTCACACAATCGCACACACCTCGCCTGGCAGCGTGTGTATGTTCAAATCTGAGAGCCGCCTGAGCATGTAAAAAAACTGCATGCAAAGTAAGCTCATATTTGTGCATAGGTAACTACTGCCTTTAGCGCCAATCCTGCAGAAAATTATCCAGCTAACAACTTTATGCAGCAGGATCTTAACTCAGGCTTTAATTCACCACCTGTGGTATGGAAAACACCTAAGAATTTAAGCATTTTGGGGAACTGGGACATGTGAGAAGTAGGTTTCAATGGAAAAATTCATGGCACATAGTGTTAGGTCCTTTTTGATCTGGAGAGTGACAATGAATTCTGGCTACACTCTTAAGAAGGTCAGGCCCTCTGAAAATCATCCAGTCCTTGGCAGTAGTTGAATTATGGAGACCTGGCACTCAAATATGAATACTTTGGCCTGAGGTTTTCAATATAATTTCCAGATCAACTATTCTTTAGCAGGGCTTGTCATATACATTAATGGCTTGAATATCCAAGTAGTAGATTTTAAAAAGACATTTGAATGAAGGTTTTTCCACCTGTTGTGACTCAAGCACAACATATTTTTATACACCTTACATTTCTAGAAGCACAGGAAAACATTTGACTTGTAACATAAATTCAGTTTTCAAAGAGATGTTTAACTTACCTGCCAGAAGTCAGCGACAGTAGCAGGGAGAGGTCCCTGGGTGGCAATATAAGCTGGGTTTCGGGGGTCATGGTCCATCTGGAACAAGGAAAGAGAACACAGGCTGTATTTATTCAAAAGAAAATCCCTTGCTGTGTTAGAGACAGAAAGTATGTGAGGGCAGAAACAAGGGACTTCCTAAAGGACTGTCATGTCCCTCCATCCTTTATTGGCAAGCAAAGAATTTTATTTCTATTTATAAGCTCAGAGGAGAACTTTTTCCACAAAAGACTGATGCTACCAGATGGACATCAGCAGACATGATGAGCAATGTCCTATGTCCTCAATATGCAGCGTAAGATCATTTATGGTGGTTGACAAAGGCATTTATTTGAGATCAGTACTCATGGTTTCATAGCAACCTAGGAGCCATTTGAAACATTTTTCTACACTGAGTGTTAAGAATGCTCCACACATCTAAATATGTTCTCCATTTCCACTGTGCCAGTCAAGGGCACATGTAACTAAAAAACAGCAAAAATGGCGAACAAATTCAGTTTCTGGCTTTTTCTGGTTAGCTGATTTATCTAAATGCATGGATTTGGCCTCAATAGAGGAAGTTCTGCTTAAAGACCTTAATTATTACATTTAATTCAAGGAGCAGAAAATTCACTGAGCAGAAAAAATAAAGAATCTAAGAAACAAAGCCATCAAGAGTAAATAGGATTAGTGTGTTACAATGAATGTTTTTGAACTGATGGGTGGTTTTCTTGGTTCTAAATCTTAGGACCCATTCTGCTGAAAAAGAAGATCTGCTGATAGGATTAAAAACCAAACAAACTCATTATAACCCTGAACTGGGCAAGACAAAACTCTGAACATAAAGAAAAGAGATCCAGTTCAGCTCTCAGATGTGTGGGTGTGACTCAGTGACACGGAAGTCGGCGAGAGTTAACTTACTCCCCTGTAGCTGAAGGCAGAATTTGTCTCGATACACGATTCTGTTCTATAAGTAAAGATCTGAATAAGAATGAATGTGAGTCATATTTGCATTAAGAGGCATCTACTGAATTTATTCATAGCCTATCAAAATTTTCAGTGATGTTACATGTCAGCGTAAAAGAAGGCACCTCATAATTATGTGCAACATAAAAGAGGAAAGAACCATAAAAGAACAGATGTAAGTTATTCTAACAGAACAACAATATGATGAATGTTGCAAAAAGGAAGGGAACGTTTATGTTTCTAATTTTCTGATGTATAATTAAGCCGGACTTACTATTAAAATTCTCCATGACAACACAACACAGGTAAAATGAAGTCACTGAATCCACTTAGAATAAAAGCTTACTTTTGATTCACCACCCATAGTTATAAAAAACCTTGACCAGGGTGTCTATAATACCATCATTTTATTCTGAGCTTCATTGAGATGCTTCTCTTATCAGCAAGTAACTCTTCACAACAAGCAATTGCTCACAACAAATTTCAACTGTGCTTTCTTTGCCTTTTCACAAGAGCAATTCTGATAGCAGGACATTTACTACTCTGGGTATTTTGGGATCAGGAAAAAACTGGCTTTCTTCAGAAAGCAGCATTAGCAAAAAATCCTTAGGAACTATTTCAAAACGGTCAACTTTTTTGTTTTTCTAAGAATTGAGACACTGAACTAAACACAGCTGGAAACAACAGCAAATGTGATTAAGCATAGTCAGGCTTAAAGTTGGTTTTTTTTCTCCATTATGGTTGAAATAATTTCTGTTGTTTTGTTTCAAATCCCACAGAGATCTATAGGATTTAATCATGTGCTTAAATGTTTTCCTATGCTGGAACTAAAAATCTTAGCTTAGAAAAATCGACCTGCACCAAGGAGGACTTGCTACTCCCAGTGGAAACCGTGGTAGGCTGCATCCACTTGAAACGATGTTACTTCTCTAACAGGCGAGAGCCTGATTTGGAAATGTAACCGACAGTGAATACCCCTAACTTTAGAAAAATTATAATTTACTTTAAATTTCTTCTTGAACTAAATTCTTTTGTATGTAGACATGCCAGAAAACAAAGGCAGAAGAAATCAAGGATGATGCAAATAGCGCTGTCATGGAGGAAATACTTCTCAACATTCAGCTGATAAATCAGGAATAGGCCAATCTTGGCATTTCAGCATTAATCAACCTCTGTCACAAAGGTGCTGTTGGAACGTGGCAAACATTACAATAAGCACAGAGTAGTGAAGTGTATCAGCAGTTTAACAATAATTCAAAAGACAATTACAATTATTACATTCCAAGCACATTGTGTTGCACAGAAAACAATTATGAGCAGAAACTCGTCTTGCTTGGAGCAAATAGAAGATGGCAGAAAGCCCTATCACACTATCAAATGATCTTTAACTGAGCAAAAATAAGAGCAAAGATTAAACTAATTAAATGAAATTCCTGGTTTCATCAATTTTCTATTATATGTACTGTTTTAAAGGCCACATATTTCAAGAAAAGTGTGAAAAATCACTACTCTGGTCACATTCAATTTAACATGAACAGGTGACTGCAAGGGATGGTTCTTGAATGTTTTTGTTATGTTCTTTTTTATTCTCTCAAGGTCACCAAGAACACCAAGGGCATCTTCATCTATCAAAGTTAACAAAAGTTTGAATAAAGAAATAAAGTCAGTAATGGGTTTTAAACTAACTAATCAAGGATCAAGTAAAAGGCTCTTTTTTATGTCAGTAGTCATTATCTTCTTTCAAGGCTCCCTCAGATTTCTCACTTCATGAAAATAAAACAGAAAATGTATTCTCCAGAGAAGAATAGAGAACAGCAGGCTCCATACTATCAAGTATTAAAACAAAAATCGACTGTTTGCTAACATTTTACATCAGAACAAGCTTCAGAAATCATCCTAATAGTAATTGTTCAAAAAGAACACGATTTTTCTCTCTATGCCCCCATCAAAGCACAGAGTTCACAAGGCGTACATCAGAACTGGATCGAACAGCCATTTTTGGAAAGAAAAAGCTGCAATTATTACAACTGTTCAGCTATGGTGGAATTCTCATTTTCTGCTGCAGTACAACAAAGGCAAGTCTGGTGATAATGTTTCAATCTATTTTTCCATGATTTTGTATTAGGGAAAGTAAGGGATCAAGGATTACTATAAAAAAAAAAAAGAAAGGGATCAAGGATTACTATAACTGACCACACAGTTGACTGTGGTGATCTCTGTCACTACCAATATCAAAAGCAAATGGAAACAAAGAGGAGGAGCATTCGGATTTCTTGTTGGAAAAGAAAAAATGCAGAAAACTTTAGTGGCATGACTTTTGTTTTTCTACAGGGCTTCATAATGAAAGTTGACTTACAGTATCTTAAAGTAGCAAAATGTATCAAGAACACAGTATTACAACTAGTTGCACCTTTGTTAAATTAATATCAGACCACAGTTCCACCTTTGCCTCACTAGAGAATAAAAGCTATTCCTTTAGTTTTTCCTTCAAGAGAGCTAATATCCAGTTGCCTTATCTGCGGACTTTGCAAGGATTCCCTGAAGAACTCTGAATTTTGTTGAGTTTTTAGTTAGAGTTTGTGCTGCTGCATGATTTCACTGATAACGCTGATGAAATAGCAAAATTGATACCTTCTCAGAGTAAATCCTCAAATTTACTGTATTTAGACTTGAGAGTGGTACATATAGATTCTTGTTAAGTAGTATTCTAAAACTGCAAACCAAAGTAAAAGTGTCAATAGGCATCAATGACCACTTTGAAATCTCATGTAAATGATACACCGATTCATTCCTGCCCTTTACCTTCCCTTTCAGCTTGTCAGTTCCTTACTTTCCACACAGAAAGATGCTGTCTGAGATGTGGTCTCAGTCACACCATATTAACCTTGATTTAAATCCTCTGAGTCCAACTGAAATATCCTTAAATCATATGAGATCAGAATGAGATCCAGTGTAGACCAAATACAACAGAAAGTTGAACTCTGATTAACACCTTAAAAATTCATATGGATTCAAGCTACTGTGTAGTTTCCACATTTAATGTGTTTATAATACCAATAAAATCTACTTTCATGCACGTACATATTACACAGAGTATAGACAGTCTCCAAAAGTAAAAAAGTATGTTTGTTTTTGTAAAAGAAAGCATATCCAGCAAATGCAGATGAACTTTGTATTCATGTTCATCTCAGCATTAAAATTTAAAAGGTAGACTAGTCTTCATCTTCATGTTTGAATCAAAATTTAAAACAATTTTTAAATCCTTCCTTTAAAACCCCTAATGGAATGAAAGAAGTAAATCTGGTTGTGAATGCCATTATGAATTTCAGAGTCTATTCTTGGTGATGAAATTTGTATGCTGTGTTTGAACAAACCGTCATGCTAATGACATTCCTCAGTCTGGTGTCTTCAATAATAAGCAAACTGAGTTTTTAAATGTAGTTGATGGGATTTTTTCTCTTTCAGACACCCTATGAGGAAAAACAGAATTCCCATTTACTTTCATGACCTCTGATTTAAAAGCAAAGATTGCACATTATTTACTACTGGATGATTTTCCCGAAATTTAATGAGGACTAAGTACAAATATGACAGATGTAATTATCACAGTTTTATTCTGCACAGTCAGGGTCTTCTTGTGCTGTAATTGCAAGCCTTTCATTCAGCTGCTGATAGCAGAGTTATTATCATAGTACTTTATGTTATTTCAGAGGGGAGGGAAACAGATTTCTACCTCACTTTTACTCTGCAAATTTATCCTAAGGACTCATTTTGCCAGGCCTCATGCTACAGTGAAATTAGAGACATACGGGAGGAACTTGGACTAAATCTTTGCTGATTCTCCTCACCCACTCCCAGCCATGGTGAGGCCATCAATCTAACCCCAGTTTTCACAACATATTGGAGGGAAAGGAGGTCCTGAGGGGGGTAGCACTTTTTTAAAAGGAAGAAACATGTGGGCAGGTGGCCAGCTCATTGTCTATCACGGGGATTTTTTTACGGTGTACTGCTGCACTCATTTAGACTTAAGTTAAGGTTGAGTGAGCCCCAGCTGGAGACCGGACCACTGACCCAGAAGCTGGAGATACCCAGTGACATGTACACGACTGGAAGCCTCCCTTTCCGATTCTCAAATATAATTACTTTATTTTACACTCTTCCCTCACCAGACAGCTCACACGCGCAGGGAGGAAAAAGCCTCTTCCAGTCAGTTCAGACTGTACTGATCCTGTGCTATTAATGCCCATCTTGCAGCTCACTACAATGCTCGCTCCTAGCCCAAGCGCTGCCAGGCGCAAATGCACCAGGAACATCACTGCATTGACATGGTAATTACTGAGGTTATTTAAGTTGAAAGGCAGCAGTCTGAAGGAAAGAAATGGCAGGATTTTTGCAAGAGCGAATAAAGGCGGACTTACTGGTACTCCACATCCACCGTACATTTACAAAGACATTGATTAAATGTGTGTCTGCTACCCAAAAATATCTCAAATAAAGAGCAGTAGGAATAACGTGCGTGTCCAGCTCAGGCTGCGATGGCTGTACGGCCACAGTAAATACTATGGAATCAAGTGCCCGATACAATACTCCAGTAGGCTTCTGAGGTGGGAAGCGGGACTGAAAGTCTCTGTCAGTCCTATATTCTACCTCATTATACAAAAGCAATATCAGATGAACAAATACATTTACGCTAACCTGAAGATACTTCATTTGTCTTGAAATGAAACAGTTTGCAGGGAACCTTTCCAAACTATGGGCTTGCAAAGTAGTGTTTTCCTCCTACCAGCCTCCCACTGCATCACCTTCAGGAAACACACATTCTATCTATTGCTTTCAAAATAGCAAAATGACTATTGAAACAAACTCACAAAACCATCTGGAGCATCTCTTTCCTTGGAATAACAGGTCGTCTACAGAAACGTGGGCTGTGGCACTCCGTCCCACACAGTAGGGTCCCTATCCTACCACGACGAAGAGGAACTCAAAGAGTTTCTCTTGACCGTTTTTCATGGCTACGCCAGATACAGGGTGCTTGTCCCAGTCCAAATGAAACACTTGTGCACCCACTTATCTGTGAACCTAGAAAGATTTCTGTAAGAGATACAGAGACAACCATAAGAATTTTTGCTTCATAAGTGTGACTTGTTTTATTGAACAAAACTCTGGAGTCTAGGGAAGTTACAAAAAAGAAACACCGTTTAACCTTGCAGAAAAAAAAATGCTTATGAAAGATGGAAAGGCAAGATTACAACCCCCGGTAAAACCATGAGAGTTAAAGCTGTGGAAGCAGAAACCCTCTGCCTGCATTAGCTTCAGGCAACCTGACAAAGCAAATCTCTTCCCAGTTATGTCAATGGGATATCTTGGCCCTGTCTCTCCACCTCCAAAACTACTTAATCTAATACTTTTCTCTTTATGGTAATTAAGGGAACAGATACACTATAGTCCAGAATTACAATTGCAACAGGTATATACAGGCATGAAAGAATTTAGCCCTTCCTCAACCAAATTTGTGTACTAAAACCAGTTAAGTTGTGTCTACACAGACTTTTGGGCAGGCTGCAGAAGCCCATCTTGGTTATTCGGTAAAAACACAGCATCTGTACTGCTGCCAGCACTGAACTTGGCCTGGCACTGTCTACAGATGCTGGAATTCCACTTCTGCACCATGTTGTAGCCATGAGAATTACAACCAAGCTCTTACAAGAATACAATATCTCACTTCCAGTTAACACCTCCCACTCCTGTGCTTGCCACAAAATCTCTCAGCTTCTACTATCAAATTAAGGCTTGACCAAACATAACTCACCAAATGTGCCCTGAAGACAGGCAAACAGCACTGAAGTTACTCTGAATTCCTGATCCTGGGGCCAGCTAGAGCTCAGTCTAGTCAGAGACATACTTAAAAGTAGTCCAAAACCTGCTCTAATCTGTGTGCATCTACCCCTGCCCTCTAAAAGGGCAGCTGGCAATCCCTGAAGCATGCAGGTGCTTTGTTTTCCCCTCTACCCTAAATCAAAGACAAAAGCATCCCGAAGATGTTTGTTGGGTTCTATGTATTTTTTAACTCTTAGAATAAAACATTTTTATACGTTCAAGGAAACGAAGCTTTTGAACACTGCTGAAATTAACAAAAACAAAGCTCAGAGAATAGTTTCCATATAGTTGTGGATTTTTTAAAGAAAAAAAGTATTGTCAACAACATTGGAAGGAAGCAGCCTGTAATTTTATGCTGTTGCAAATTGTCAGCTGCCTTGCCCACACAAAGTGATTTAACTCGGGGAGTGATACTCCCCAGGAAAATGAGCCAGTAATGGCATACAGAACCCACTGCAGTGAGAACTAATTCTTCCTCCTAAGTTCCTTCTCATAGTGTCCCTACAATAACTTTTTAGTGCCTAATTAATGTGAATAAGAACCATGAGCAAAAGTGAATCCAATATCAGCAGTCTCATGGAGGTCAAGGGCACAGTGCTTTTTCCCCCTTCAAATGGATAGCACGACACTTCCATTGAGATGCTATGAGAGGGCAATACTACTGGCTCTATCATACCTGTTTTGTGCCTAAAAATAGAGACCTTTTCTCTCTATCACCTTTTGGAGACAAGAAAGGATTCATATTCAGCTTACATAGGGTCAGAAAGGGCAGCTGGGCCACACTGGAGTATTCGGAGGCAAAAATTGGATTGACCTATTTTGCAGTTTGAATGAATACACAAGTGTTAAGCAATCTCGTTCTTGCTTTCAAAATAGCAAGCTTGGAGAAGAACTGGGAGAGGTACAGAAACACCAAGCTATGCATCCGTAGAGCAAGAGGCAGGAAGGGGAAATGTCAGTTCCTGATGCAGAAGTTCAGAAGCCTGTGGAGCTCAGCTCTCCATGCCTACAGAAACCATTCCTCCTACAACTGTAGCTAGTAGGACAAAGCAAAAAAAGAATAAGCAAGTTTTACCTCCTCTGAGAAGGAAAAGCTCCACTGAGGGTATATCCTTGAATTGTATAATCCATAAGTTAATAATATCAAGTACAGAAAACCTGACCGTATTACAAGGTAGAACGATGACTATTGAGTGACTTTGTTTTCTTAGTACATAAATTTCAAGAGTATTGCATGCACATGTAGAAGATTTATTTCTCTTCAGTTTGAAAGGACAGCCTGAGACATCAGAGTTGTGAGGTGCTCACAACCTGAGGCTGCACAATCTGAGCAGCGAGGTGCCCCAAGTTACCATGTTTCAACAACAAGGAAAGACAGGGACTGACTATTTGGATTATTTCTTATAGGTTACTGTACTTACAATTGGGCTAGCATTAATGTAGTCTGAACTGTCATGGCTGTTTTCACCCTTCAGACATATCCTGGAATGATCATCTGCAGAGGAGAAAGTAAGAGAAGAAAGTTTCTATACAGGTAGTCTATTTTAAGTTAAACAATTCAAAGTCAGATTAATGCACGTTTCAAGACTGGCAAACGATAAATATCAGAAAGGGCATTTCCTTCTGACTCCCAACCTAGCATAGCCTTGATATAGCCACAGTGTCACAGTCTGACACAGGAATGAAGCACTAAGAAATTTCAGAGGCTGAGTATCAGAAAGCGTGTCTTCACGAGATGCACCTTAACGTGTTACAATCTCTCATGGGAAAAGGGGGAATCTCTACTGCTTAGGGAGTTTAAGACTTAAACTAGGCAAAACCCTAGAAAAAAAACAGTATTGTAGAAAACACTTCTGTGTTTGCAAGGTCATGGAAGAAGTAAGCTGATGGACTTTGTCCATCTGGCTTTTCTATAAAATAAACAGCAGGA